TTATTTTTGTTAACTCTACTTTCGGCAGCGCATTTCCTTTAAAATTCATTGGTATTCTTTCTCCCTCCTTTGAACAGGGAAACACGGAGAAAAGAGTATTACACATGAGTTTTGATTGCATGACACAGGGCTTTTGTTTCCCTTCTCGCAGCACCCTGCCCAATCAGGTACGGCGGTGTCCGTGGGGCTGGTGGATGAGGCTGCAATCACGAGTGAGGCTTCGAAGTGGTAGGTCGAGTTGCTGAGCCAAATTGGAGAGGAAGGCGACAAGAGTTTGGAGAGAAAAAGAAAAACAACGTGGTGAACGGGGGAAAAAACATATGTTCCGATACCGGGAGTCGAACCCGGGCCGCCTGGGTGAAAGCCAGGAATCCTTTTTTTTTTTTTTTATCTTGTAAATATTTATTAAACATAAATAATATACAATACAATATATATATATAAACAGAAATGATAATATCACAGATAAATATAAATAAATTGAAATATATATTATATCTATATCGCTGAAAGATGTTCTATAATGAACAGATTAAAATTAAAACTATGAATTTTATAATATTATTGCACTGAAAAAGTACAACGAAATAGCATATTTTGGAATTTAATATAATATTTTTATAATACAAAATATTGTAAGGCTTCAGATTGTGTAAAAAATACTACAGTTAAACAGCCATTAAAAGATAGATCTCGAGAATTAAAATTAGATTAATATATAGACTTTTGGGTTGAATAAAACTATTTAAAAAATTTTGATGATTTAAAATAAAATTGAAAATAAGAACACTATAATTGTGTCTAGATATAAAAGAATAAAAAGTTTTCTATTACGGTAGAGTAAAAAATACTGGGTAATAAAAGGTAAAATTAAAAGTCTACACGACTATATTGTGTGAAAAGGACTGGATAAAAAAGTATATAGATCGTTATTCACGCTTTGACATTACGGCAGGTGAAAGCACGTGGCGTACTATCAAAGCGGGTATAACGGTCTGTTAAAAGAATAGGTCTATATACAGTTAAAAAAGGTAGGCTATAATACAGAGATATTCTTTAAATATGACCCTTACGGACAAAATCGAAAATGTAAGGATCATAGGAATATCCCTTCAACGTATAAAAATAAAAGAATTTAGACCTAGTTTGAGGTAAAACTAGGGCATTATCTGTTATTCGTCTGCTATATTTGTTTACACAATGAACAGTTAGGAATGTGTGAAGTCACGTGGTAATTATACTATACTTAAAGAGGGAAATCCATTTAAAAGGATTAACTATTTACATTATTAAAATTAACAAAATTCTATATTGATTGAGTTATCAAGCTGGATATTTACAAAACAGGAAGGTAAAATAAACTTCTGTATAAAAACATGTTTAGGAAAAAATTCTCTTAAATAAATGAGTGCATTTGCTAAAACATTCTTATATAAAATAACTAAATCTAAATTTGCATTTGGTTTATCAATATAAACATATCTTCTAGTTAAAATGG